CGCCTCGGCCGCCGCAGCCGCCGCCTTCGCGGACAAGTACATGGACACCGCCGGCCCCGCGGCCGAGGAGTTCAGCTCCCGCGCTAAGGAGTTCGCCTTCTACCACCAGGGCTACGCCGCAGGGCCTTACCACCATCACCAGCCCGTGCCCGGCTACCTGGATATGCCGGTGGTTCCGGGGCTTGGGGGCCCCGGCGAGTCTCGCCACGAGCCCCTGGGTCTTCCCATGGAAAGCTACCAGCCCTGGGCGCTGCCCAATGGCTGGAACGGCCAAATGTACTGCCCCAAAGAGCAGGCGCAGCCTCCCCACCTCTGGAAGTCCACTCTGCCCGGTAAATGGCGCCCCTCTTTCCAGCCCCGGGTCTTCCGGCTCTGCTCCAGCGTCTGCTCAGCTCACGCCCGGGGTCACCCGGGTGGCCCTCTGCTCTCCCCTTGGCTGTCCCAGGGGGCTGCGCCCCTGGGAGCCTGATTCCAGCTGGCTGGCGCTGTCCACATTACCCTAAGTTGAGCTGGCCCAGGCCTTCCTTGGGTGACGGGTAGCCTCCTCGAGGAAGCCTGATGGATCCCAGCTAGCTGCCTTCTCCCTCTGTGCCCCTCCCTCCCCAGCCCTTGACACTGACAAACTGAGAAATGGGACTGCTATTTGGCTCACCAAATTGCCACTATTCGTTCTCGGAAAATGGTTTCATTGGTGAATCACCGAGTGTTGGGGCTTGGGGCAAGCCGGGAGGCACCAGGCGACAGGAGCGTTGTGCCCTGCATTGGGCGCTAAGGTGTGGGCAGCTGGGCCAGGAGGTGGAGGGAAGCAGGCGCACAGGGCATGCAGGATAACCCTGTGGAGCTGATCACTGGAGCTCTGGGCTATTTCATTTCGGTGCAAAACTATCCACCCTTTCCTCTAAACCCCCAAGTTTTGGCAGAAGGCCGGACTGTACAGTGTGTAGAAAAGAGCAGCTCTCGCCGGTCGTGTGTATCCCATCGAGCTGTCGCCTGTGTCTTGGCCCCCGTCGGATCCGTGTATAACTTGCCTTCTCTCTCTTCCAGATGTGGTCTCCCATCCCTCGGATGCCAGCTCCTATAGAAGAGGGAGAAAGAAGCGCGTGCCTTACACCAAGGTGCAATTAAAAGAACTCGAACGGGAATACGCCACGAACAAATTCATTACCAAGGACAAACGGAGGAGGATATCAGCCACAACGAACCTCTCTGAGCGGCAGGTCACAATCTGGTTCCAGAACAGGAGGGTCAAAGAGAAAAAAGTCATCAACAAACTGAAGACCACTAGTTAATGGATTAAAAATGGAGCAGAGGAAACTTGAAGAAATGCTTCAGAACGCATTGCTTTGCCCAGATAATAATAATGCTTAATAATAATTCAAGAAATGGAAAGAGAGAGACACTGGCATTTTGCTCTCCTCCGGGGAAAATCTCTTTCTCTGTAATGGAATCTACAACTTTTAAAAAACTTTAAGAAATGATAAAGACTGCCACTTCTCCCGCCAACCCCACCAGACCATTACATGCCAAACTCTAGAGTCAAACGTCAACCCCTAAATACGCAATTTCAGATAAGTTACTCATTTACTGAAATCTTGTAAGTATTTATGTGACCGTTATATTTGAGGACACTATGTTAGATGGTAATAATCCAAAAGTTGGTTAACAAAAGCAAGTGACTGTTGTAAGCATCTGCTTGTCCTTACGTTGCCATCCTCTTTGCATGTTAGGTGTCTGCTCAGGTAAATCTTGGTGAAATTCCTATATTGTATTTTCTGAAATATTGTGTGTTCGTGTATAGGTTTAGAGGGGCGAGAGAAGGTACTGAAATAATCTAGAACTATTTACTCTGAAGGAAGAACGGAGAGAAAGCTCTTCTGAAGATGATATGTCTTGATAGTAAATAGGACCAGTTTAAACCTTTGAGGCTACAAAGAAATTCCAGGTCGGTAATGTCCTTCCAAGAATAATTTTTAGTTGCTTATAGCAAGCCTGTTTTTGGCATTTGAACTACCCATTATCAGTGATTTTTCTGAGAATTCGATTTTTTTTAAAATGTTTAAATCAACACATAATCCGCAGGATTCCTTTTATGTCAGATCTTCCAGAAGGTCCCACACCAACGTGATGGACTTTGGTTTTGATGCAATTCATTTTTTTAATCTAAGTTTTTTTTCCATCTAAATGGGTATTCTCCAATATTTGCCAAAAATTCTGCTGCAGAAATCATTTTCTTCTTATATTTTAGAAAACTCAAAATAGAAATTCATTCTCCAAAAATATTTAGATGTTGACATACTATGTTTTGGTATTTTAGGAGATTGGTATTTTTCCTTGTTTATTGTGTTATGAGACTGCATAGAAAGTTTAGGGATTCATCTTCACAGCACATTTTTAATCAAGCATTTTTAATCATCCAGCACATTCGTTGTGTTCATATTCACTTTAAAATACTATCTTGTAAATAAAGACATTCAGCACACTGTGAAAGTGTATTTGTGCACCTGCTTTTAAATAGTTCTACTAAAAATGGAAAAATTAGACCTGTAGATAGTGATGTAGTGGTATTAATTCCGTTAATTACTCACTGCCATTAAAATCTGAAGGAAACACTCGCTACTTTCCTTTGCTAAATGTGCCCTGCCCGGAAAAGGAGCAGGTTTGTCTCATACAAACCAAGGACCATTCTTTTCTATTATTATTCAGCTTTTTGAGGGGTCAAAATTTTTTAAGAAAAGGGAGAAATTTCTCATAACTAAAATTCTGAAAATGATAAGTGGTTTAAGGAGATGAAAGTGTCAGGTGAAAGGGAAAGAAAAGAAAGGAGGAACAGATAGTATAAATTCCCAGGCTCCCTGTGGAAAATGAAAACCAGTTGTTTAGTATCAGCAATGCTTAGGGTGTCGTATTTTAAAATCTGCGGTTGGGTCTGCATGTGTCTGAAAGGGCAGGTTTTGATATTTGTTGAAATGACAGGACCAGGAAAGGCCTTAAACCTTGACCTTGACGAAAAAAGACAATTTGTGACCTTGACTTTTGACAGCTCATGAATTGGCTTGGGCTGGATTAGTAGATCAAGGGCGCCACCTGGTGTTGACAAGCCTCTTTGTAATTCTTCAGCTTCAAGGAAATCAATTCTTACCTCCTTGACTTGTTATTTTAGAGATTTAGTACTCATTTATTTGGCTCCAAATGGGGCAAATTTGAATATATGTAAATTATACATGTGCCTGTATATATGTGAATATAAATCATATATGTGAATACATGTATACATTTGCATATCTGTGCTTGTGTGTGCTTGTATATATAATTATAGAATCTGTACAGATATAGTATTAATTGCTGGTGACTCACAACATTGTAATTTAAGATGATTTCTAGAATTGAGGTACAAAATGTACTTTACATGATGATGCCTTGCTCCTTTTCTTTAATGGCCAATTTGATTTGTCTTCACAGCAGCTCACTCAGATTTCTGTAGATCTGCTTTTAAAATGTACATTTTTGTTACAGTCCAAGAGATGTTCTTAAATAATCATTTTTCTCCCCACCCTCACCCTCCAAGGTGTTCTACCACCCTAATTAGAGCTATCAGGGAGTCTTAACGGCAAATAAAAAGTTTCAGATGCCTTGCTAACTCTAGAGTTCTAGAGTTACATTTCAGAAATTCAAAAAAACCCACCTCTCAGGAGGTCAGTAAAGAGAACTTAAATATCTCATAGCTACAAAATGACCACAATATATATGCAGAAGGAGAATTATCCTGGATAGCTCGGAGCTGAATGATGCTCCAGGATGGTGTGCAACCTTACATTGATTCTTGCAAATCTGCCATTTGATTTGTGGGAGAAATAAATAGATTTAGTACTAACAATCACTATCAAAACTATAATAATGATAAAATTTTATATCTACTACTTATTGACCCCTAACAATACATCAGGTGCTGGGTTCAGAGTTGTAAATAATGCATATGTATGTTTATATATTTAATAGACACATAGAGTTTTGTGGGTTTTTTGTCAAATCCATGCTATGAACACATGTATTAAAATGTTAGTAGAACCAGTAGCCTGGAGATGTGGAATTATCAGATGCAGATTAATTTTGTTTTTATGTTAGAAGAAAGAAATAGTGAATGGAAGAAGTCAATACATCATTTGGTGAAAATTAATATTGGTTTGTTATAAGCCTGGCTGATGGAAACCTCTCCCAGCTTTCCTAATACTGAGAGCTTTATAGATGAAGATCTAAGGAAAAAAAATCTAAACCTATTTCAAAAAAACATGTCCTGAACCATATATATCGAATGGCTTTGAGTACAATCGTATTTGAGGATTTTCACTTTACTTCTGGAAAGAAATGAAAATGCTGCCTCAGATCCACCTCCCCACGTTTTGTACCACGGTTCCATTTGTAAAAGAGCTACCATCAAGCCGAAGTAACAACTCTCTCCCCAAATGTTTAAAGTGGTGGAAAATCTCCTTCAATCTGGATCAGTATGCTTACACATAGCTCTGAAGAGGACTCTTCTGCTGATAGGGGATATTTTTCATTCAATGTAAGAAATATTCTGAGCCTCAGGCCTAGAAAAAAGAGGCCCACAGGAGCTCTGCAGCCGGAATACCTACCACCCCTTTTAAAAGCCATCGTCACTGCAAGAACCCTGGGTAAAGTAGTAGCCTTCTTTTTTTTTCCCTCTCTCTCCAGTTTTGAAATTGTAATGACAGAAATATGTGAGGAACACCCCCCATGCCCCAGTTCTAAAATGGTTGTTGATAATGTCAGTTGTACTTAACACTTCCGTACTGAAAGTGTCCACAGGGCTAGCTACCAGATAAACTGAGGTGGGCATGGTTTATAATGGCTCCTGAATGCCTAAAACTTGTAGAACAGATAGCTAGGGGAACACCAGCCTCCTCTTGAAAATTAAGAGTAATAATTCAAGTCAGTAATCCATAAATAGTACGGTTTAAAACTTGATTCAAGTATTTTTTTTCTAAAAAGAAAACTATTCGTGAACCAAAAAGAAGTGTATATATATATGTATATATATACATATATATACACACACACACACACACATATATATATATATATATATATATCTCAATATAGGAATTTCCCCATCTGCTCTTAATACTGTCAAATGTATTAACTTAAGTGGTTGATTGTAAAATGTCACTATGTATTTTACTACTAATATCCCTGATGCAGAGTTAAAGCCATTCATTTAAGTTGGCTTTTTTTTTTTAAACAGAAAAGGAAAGAAATTTTAAGAAAGTTGGAAAAAGGAAATTATTAATTTTTGTAATTCAACCTAATGGAAATGTTTTCGGAGAAATTGACCGGGAGGCAGCAAAGAAATCCAGTGGAAAGTGATACATTTGTGTGCGGGTAATCAGATTTCACTGTATAGCAGAGACGGCCTATTACACTGCTCTGGGTGTTTGGAGGGCTGGGTGAAGATGTGGCATCTCCCTTTCTTGCCATGAATTCCCCTAGTTTCAAGCCCAGATGGAAGTTGCCTGAGACTACTAATCCCCAGCCCCGGTGGGTTCAGAGGCGCCCTTCTAGACTTGCAGGGCTCTCTGGAGGAGGAGACCTAGGGGCTTGCTGATTTATGCGCATTCCTTTAAACTTGATCGAATGCGTGTCAACAGCCCAAGTCCTGGAGAATCAGAGAAATGTGCAACGAGTTGCTCACATCCCATTTTTCATAAGCAAAGATGTAGCGTTATCCAAAAAGCCTGGGGAGATTTATGCCTACGTTTTAGAACAGGCACGCTAATTAAGTTTTCATCTGTTCGGCCGCCCGGGTAAATAACAACTGGCTCCATTCTCTGAAAAGATCCACCCAATCCTCACACATCTACCTTGCATAGACGATGGCCTGAGGAGCTTGCAATTTAAAATTTTATTTTAAAGTGTGTGTGGGGGGAGACGCTGGCCCAGGGGGGGAAAAATCCCTCGGTGAGAGCAGCCACGGCCTTGCCACACTCGATTTCATTTCTGTCCGGCTCCGTCTCGCGGCTGAAGAGCTGAATCCACCAGGCACAAATCATGGCAACGGCGGCGTGCGAGATTTTCAGACCGCAGGAGATCGCGCGGCGGCGCGGGGCCTGCTTAGGTGCAGGTGTGGACGCGCGGATGCGAGCTCTGGGGACCGGGACGCGGAGAGGCCCGGGGACGTCCCCTCGGGACAGAGGGGCGGCCCCAAGTCCTCGCGCTCCCACAGGAACCCCCTACTCAAAATGGAGGCTCC